GTAGCTTAACTCAAGAGCAGGATGGTATGCATCTTCCGGCAAAACTAGGGGATCACACCGATTAATAGAGGCCTTCGGAACATCATCAACGTAAACGAGATCCAAGACCTTTCCAAACTTATTTGGACATATATTTATTTGTTTGAGGCAAAGTTCAGCCATTTCCTCCAGAAATACATTGTAACTATCTCTAGATGAAACTGGTACAACATCGGTGTCAATGATGTTCCATGAAATATGTGGCAGATTTAAATCGCCCAAAACAATCATAGAATCGGATGCCGTAAGCATTGCATTTACGGTCTCAAGTAAAGAAACTAGCTGCATATATACCGATACGGCAGAATTAGGAGGGATGTAGCAAAGAGCTAAATAAATATAAGTCTTTCCAGCCTGTACACGTATACATTTAAATTCGGTATATTCAATGACAGGAAGACTAACTTCCTCGGATGGTATCGATGAATGCACCGCAAAAAGAACACCACCGCCGATTCTGCCCACGCGGTCACTCCTGTATATTTGATATTCATTTGGAAGAATTTCGGAATTAAAAATATGAGGTTTGAGCCATGTTTCGGTCAAGGAAATAATATTATAATTGCAGTCAAAACCTTTTAAATATAAGTCAGTTAATTTGGTATTCAAACCTCTAACGTTTTGATAGTAAATACTTAAATTAGACTTGCGAGTTAGTTTTTTGAATCCGAATTAAGATTAGAAATTTTAGCTACGTTATTATTACTTTTATTAGGTTTATACTCAAACTCGCGAACAAACGCCCCGGTCGGCCAAAATGAACTATTTAGTAGTGAATCAAAATCTTCGGAAGCTACATCAATTTTAAAAGATGAAATATCGCGATCGTATTTAAAATTAAATTTACGAATAAATACATCTTTAGTTCTAATTTTAGTCGATATGTATGACTTTATATCATCCGAAGAAGTATCTTTAGCAAATCTAGAGACAAAGATTGATCTTCTCGGAGGAATTACAACCAACTTTTTGGTAATGATGTCTGATGTGCGGGGCTCCGAATTATTCGGAGGAACTAAGTTAGACAGTGGAGCTTGAGATGTTGATGGCAACACTGTTAAATCAACGGTTTGACTATTTTTAGAAGTAGACCTAGTGGATATGGCTTTAGAAATCGGAGGCTCCAATGCCTGAGGGCATGGAGAAGATAAATTAATAAGTTCTAAGGACTGGGATGGAGGATTTTTTTTACTAGAATCCGTGGCTGTCTTTTTAGGTGAACTAATAACACGCCCACCTTTATTTTCTCGGCTATCCTCAGAGTGCGGAGCGTTGTCGATACAAGTGAAAGACCTAAACATTTTTTCGTAATGCTTAAATTTCTCAACAAGCGCCGACAGATCCTTCCCGATCTCAGAAAAACCATTTCTGGACTGCCTGAAGAATTTAAATAAATCAACTTCGGTTGATCTACATTTTTGACAAGACCAACGAAGACCCTTACCCTCGTTAATAGCGTCTAATACTCTACCGCTCAAACCAGCACATTTTATATGGGCAATCCCATCGCAGAGCCAGCATGACACATAGGAGTCGCTTTTAACGTGGCAATTGGTGTAAATACACGACATGTTTAAAATTATATTTATTTTTAAGTTTTAGAAGCAAAATAGCAATAACGGTTTTGAAAACGATGTATTAATCAGTGAACCAATCAGCTGGTAAATATCAGTTGGAAAGCTATGTAGCGAACAGTTTTAAATGCACTGTATATTTGACACCTAATAAACACAACGCAAACAGCTGTGACAAAGATGAAACAGCAGAAATGACAAAAAGACAAAAAGAGCAAAATCAATGTGCACAAACAAAAACAATTGTACAAGAACAATATATTATATGAAACAAAATACTCGTCACATGAAATTAAGAATATCAAGTTAAATTAATCAAATTTACGGGAAATTTTGATGTTTTACTTATCTTTAAATTGTGCACCAGAAGTTTATTAACACTTTTTTTAATTTTTTACTTTAATAAGCGTAAACAGCTTTATAAACCACAAAATTTAAACAGATCACAGAAAAACACAGCTTCACCGCTTGACGTTTGCGTAGATTGATTAACATATAATTTTTTCAAAAACAAATATTGCGAAATTTCAAGGATAAAATTTTAAAATGACATTTTCAATATTTACCAGCCCTTCTGCACCAGAAAAATAGCTACTCATAAAAATACAATCGCCGTTCGGAGTCGACGTGAAACTGAAGGTCCCTCCGCTTTGTGTGACAACATCAAGGCGCACGCCACAAATCGGAGGAGAAGCTCGGCCAAACACATGTGTAAGCGCAAATCTATTATTATTATTATTCTGCACCAGAAACTTGAATCTGTTTAACAAACCTAATACAAATGTGCGCTCTTAAGACGAATGCACAGGAAATTAAAATTTTTGTAACGTTGCTAGAGCTCTTTTCAGATTTATGTCTTTAACACCAAATTATTTGATTAACAAATTTTTACCTAGAACCTGAAACCGAATCGTAAACGCACTACAGAGAGTTTTAGGGCCGTTCAATATATGGTTAACCCAAACCGGTGGTCGGTGGTAAAATGTCGATAATGACGTTTAACTGGGAGGTAGTGATAATCAGACATTGAAAAAACGGCACTAGGGTTGGTTTCGCCATCTACTCTCTGTTATATGCATAGCAGTAGCGCTCTATGAACAAACAGCTCCTATAAAGGTTTTATCTTGTTGCTTTAAATAGAAAAGTTCTTTAAATGTAAATTCTATCTTAAACTGAAGCATTTTCACCTAAGCTAATCCTTTGACCACTTCGGTATGTTAATTATAGACAACTGTTTTCCGTTTACCTTTAACATCCCATGGCACACGACTATGTAGCAGTATCCGCATCGCCTTAACAGTATTCAGAAGAAGCACATCGTACTAACTGAAACTTTTTCGCCTGTACACTTTTTAGATGCATGCATGTGCATTTTGCGTGCCTTTTATCGTATCTCTGTATTTCACTAACTCCCTGTGTGAGGAAACCAAATAATGTAATTCTTAACAGAAGTGCCTAAAATTTTAACAATTTGGCCATGTTAAACACAGCTGAAGCTAAATTCCGGTATTTCTCTTACTAGCGCCTGAAACTATACTTATTATTTAACAAATTTATAGCGTTTTTACGTTCTTAGACAAATTACGCTCTCTTAGCCATAAATTTAATACTGTGTTTTGACCGCCTTCATATCAAGACCCCTGGACCATCTAGGGAATTCATTTATGTCCTATATTGCATTGTCACCGTGATTGCAACTATGCTGAAAATTTCAAGACTCTAGCTTGTCGGGAAGTTAGTTTGAAATCGATAAGAAATGTCCGCGAGATGACCAAGTTAAATAAAAGCTTGTAATAATTGTTAAAGAGCGAAAAGTTGTACCTTTTACGGTCCCTGACTCGAACTGTTTTGAGACATTGGTAAGCTTGGAAAGAGATCTATAATTCTGAATATTTTTTGCACCTTGTAAAGCTTGCCATAATAGCGGTTTTTTGTCAAAAATTATGCCAAAAAATACCAAAAACCAAATACCTTATCCTAATAATAATTTTCAGCCATTAAAACTTGTACTTCAGTGAATGGAAATCGCTTTTGGCACATTTTGACAGATTTTTACTCATTACTTTACTCATATTTTACTTTTTTCGATTTTTTTCCAAAAATTATTAAATTTGTTCTGTTGGTATTTGGGCGCAAATATTTAATTTGAATCTTTATTGAAAAATGCGCATATTACGTCTATGATATTGCGATGGATAGTTGATCTTTAACGTTCAAATGACAAAATAGACATTTCCGAATCATACTCTTATACAAATCTGACAGCTTATTTTGTATTAAAGTATTTCGCAAAGCCAAACGCACATAAATAAAAAACATTTGCAAAATCAAGAATTTTTCTAAATAAATGTTTTTATTCTATGAAATATTGAATAGTTTTTGTTACGTTTTCGGAAAATATGCATTGAAATCAGACAGAAAACATCTAAGTGATGCTGGACGGCAATGCTACGATTACTATTTTCCCAAACTTGTTGGAAAAAGTGGAATATGGTCCCGAATTTACATGTCTTCTATGCACGCTTTTCATTGCCATTCGCTGTACCAACCGAAGCGACCCGAGAAATACCAATATGACATGTGTGTTTTTTTTTTTTTTTTTTTTTTTTTTTAAGGGGGGCGCAGGTATTCTGCTAGCGCCGTGAAATATATATATATTTTTTTGTTAAGGGGGGGGAGGCGCAGGTATTCTGCTAGCGCCGTGAAAATTTTATATATTTTTTTTTTTTGTAAAGGGGGGGGCGCAGGTATTCTGCTAGCGCCGTGAAAATCTTATTTTTTTTTCTTAGACCTTTTGTCTATTAGTTTAATAGTTTATATTTCACTTTCGCACTTTAACTTAACTCTTTGTTTTAATTCGAGTTTTTTTTTTTTGTTTTTATTCACTTATAATTGTTTTTAATAGTCTTCACTTTTAATTGTTTTTTAGTTGGATTTATTTTTTCATACACCGCACCGAACTGAGTAGCACATCCGCACGCGACTGCTGACCGTAACTTTCACCAAGGAGAATATTGCCGAGGCCATCCGCAACCAGATAAAGGAGCTAAACCACCTTAACGAGAATGCGATAAAAAGCATCAGGGCGGCTTATGCGGGCACACAAACCGCGGTGGTAAATCTCCCAGCGCAGGAGGCAAGATTACTTCTTGACGCGCAGAAAATAAAGATAGGATGGGTTGTGTGCAGAGTAAGGGAGAAACCGAACCCCAAAAAATGCTTCAGGTGCCTGGAATATGGCCATATAGCGAGAGACTGCAAAAACGCGGAAGACAGAAGTCAATGCTGCCTAAAATGTGGAGAAAATAGACACTTTGCGAAAGCCTGCGACAAAAAGCCACACTGCAGAGCATGCAAAAACCAGGGAAGAAAGAACACAGAGCACCAGATAGGTAGTTGGAGGTGTCCGCTATACCAGGAGGCGTGCAAGAAATCAAGAAAATGAGAGTCATGCAGTTGAATCTCAACCACTGCGAAGCAGCGCAAGAGCTGCTCAGGCAAACGGTGTACGAGGAGAAGGTTAACATAGCAATAATCAGCGAGCAGTATAAAAATATAGACAGTGGAGCATGGATATCGGACCTCACAGGCAAAGCTGCAATATGGACATGCGGAGGAAAAGCTTTCCAAGAAAAGCCGCTGCTTGGTAAAAGCTACTACACACGAGCGAAGGTAGACGGTTTTAACTTTTATAGCTGCTACATACCACCAAGTATGAATACGAGAACATCCTAGACAGTTTGGTTCAACAAGTCCGGACCACCACAATGAACGTTAAGCAGGGGACTTCAATGCATGGGCAGTGGAATGGGGTAGCGTCCACACAAACAGGCGGGGAGATGCACTACTAAAGGCGTTTTCGGTACTTGATGCGGTGCTTCTGAATTCGGGGAACAAAAATACCTTTGAGAAGAATGGTCGAGGCTCGGTGATTGACTTTACTTTCGCTAGTAGTTCCTTGGTGCGCTCAACGAGCTGGAAGGTGTCGGACCTCTATACGAGCAGTGACCATCTGGCAATCATGATGGAGCTAGGGAATTGTGCACAGAGCCGACAAAGGGCGATCTCCAGGAAGGTGCAAACGAGGGGCTGGAAGGTAGAGACTCTGGATGAAGAGCTCTTCAGACTCGTGCTGGATGAGGAAATGGCCACTGAGGATAACACTGAGCTCCAGGCTGAAACACTGGTGAGGCACATCAGTAAAGCCTGCGACGGTGCTATGTGCAGGTGAAAACACGGCTCTCTCAGGCAGCCGGCGTACTGGTGGAACGAAAAAATCCAGGCCATAAGGGGTGAGTGTCATAAGGCGAGGCGGTTGTGTCAAAGGAACCGTGGCTCGATGGAACATGCCGTGCTGCGCGAGGCGTTCAAAAAGAAGCGAAGTGACCTTAAAAAAGCCATCAAAAGCAGCAAAACCAGCTGCTTTAAGGAGCTCTGCGAAAAGGTGGACGAAAACCCATGGGGTGATGCCTACAAGGTGGTCATGAAGAAAATAAAAGGTGGTAAAGGCCAGGCACCAACCTGTCCCACCCTCCTAAAAGACGTCGTGCAAACTCTCTTCCCTGTGCAAACGCCAGGAGGTCGGCGACCGCAAGCAGAGAAACCGGAGGGAATGGAAGCACCAACGGTTACAGACGAGGAGGTGGTCCAAGCAGCAGAAAGA